AAGAATAAGATAATTCTGAAACATCCTGCTTTTGTTCTTTCGGTAAACGGCTCCAAAACTGAAATCAAATTCATGTTTGTTAAGGACTCCATCTGTAGTAGTGCTTTAAAAGAAATGCATCCTGTTTTAAACTCTTTGTTTCTATCTGTTGTCGTAGGGAAGAGGAAGGAGCAGACCCGGGCTTCCAGGAGATCCCAATCCCCACGCCAGAGATGGTTAACGCCCAGTTTGCCTCAGCGGAGAGTATTCTTGGAGACCAAGATCAACAACGGTCGTCGCAGTTAAGGTGGCTTGATGTCTCTCGTGATTTATTACAGTGTTACTTGTACTCTTTTCCGTTTCAGCTTGGTTATTGACAGTGAAAGGATCGACCTACTCAGTCTGACATGATGGTATCTGTTTTTGTTCCATCTCAGTGAGATGGTGCTTCACCCAGGCGGAAACACGAGAAGCTTAGTGGCTGCTCCAACAGCAGCAACTACGTCCTTAGTTCCAAGGTACTTGTGACCTTAAGTTCTCAGTTTGTTTAAGGGAGCTTACCGTTCCTATAAAAAATAACTGTTCATCCGGTCCATTTACAAATTAAAGGGATTGTCATGATATGAAGCAGAACTTTCCTTTCCCATCAGTTATTTGTTTAAATTTTACCCCGCTTTTGGATGAGATTTCAACTCAAAAGTATGGAAAACCAAATAAAACCGTAACAAACAAACTAAAAACAAGTAAAAGTGCAGGTTGGGAAGTGCGGACGAGGAGGATAACTGGTGTTGTTGAGTAAATAAAAGTTCATATTCTCCATGGTATAGTCAGTGGGGGATACCCAGTCCTTTTTAGGAAAAGGGGTTGTTTTTTGTTTGTTTTTTTCTTCGTTGTTTGTTTCGTTCTTTGTTATTTGTTTCAAAATTCAAAAACCCGATTTCCCCATTTCCCCCTTTCTTTATTCACGGTTGAAATATAAGCACTTTGGAACTTGGTACAGCTCAAGGTTTAAAATATGTTTCATTATAAATTGTGTGTAATGACTCGTACCAGAAGAATTTTGCAACGCAACAACTATGTATTGAAACATTATGACATACAGTCGAACCTGTTATAGGCGGCACCATATTAAGCGGTCAGCCCGCATTAGCAGTCAGTTGTCAAAGTCCCGAATTTTCACCAATACTAAGCGGTCGTGGTCAGCCTTACTAAGTCCAAACCGCCCGTTTTATTGTCTTCCGACCGACATTATCCTCCGACCGTTATTGAACGGTCACTTAAGGCGGACCACTCAAATATAACTAAGAACTAAGTAATCGTGTCTTTCTTTTTCTGCGTTATGTTACAGGGAGAAGCGTGAAAAGGAGCTAAACGAATTTTTGAGACAGCGGCAGAATAGAGTGGGAATGAGGATTAAACAAAGGGTGCAATCCATAAATGATGCCATGGCTTCGTCCAATCTGGAACTAAAATAAAATTTGGTAAATTTGAAACCAGGAAACGGATGTAGTAGCTCTTTACTTGCTTTAGTTGAAGTGTAGATTGTACTTGTCTTCGTCCAATGTTTGTCTTTCTTTGCCCATTTTAGTGAGTTACATCTTCTCTGTGAAAACATTTGCCTCTTAGGCTTGAATTGTAGATACATTAAGTTTGAATATTGTTGACGCGTATGGTCGTCTTCGATGAACATTCACATACGCGAAACAAAACATTTTGTAATTAAAGTGTCATAAAATGATTGCGTTACTGTTTCTTAGCCCGTACCTAAGTCTTGCTTATCTTGCATGAAGAAATGACTCACGAGATTCTCAGCAGATGCGAGCACGTGCAAGACCACTCTCCTTCGTTTACATATTTGTTTAATGACATGCGAAAGCTTTGAGACCTTACATTTGCATTTCAATTTGTTTTTCTTTTGTGTTTGTGTGACGTAGTGAAAAATTTCGATCCTTCAGTATCGGAATTCACTCCGCAGATGCTCATGATTTAATTTAATGGAGAATGTGAAGCACTCCGTAGCAGTTCTGTTAAATTAGGGCGTGAAAATGAATGATTCGTTTTTGCGCCGAGATTGAGTGAAACAACAAACACGCACAAGTCATTCAACATCTCATGTCTCAGTTGGAGACATTTGGTAAGCTTTGACTCTTTGAATGATTTCAAAAGCGCCATATAGTAAAGCTCGTGGCGCTTTACAACACTTTGCAGGGGATTTTGGCCAGAATAATAATCATAATAATAACAATCTTTTATTAGGAAACTCCATCACAATAGTGGTTTACATAGAGGTCCTAAATACTAGATGTGTATTATATAAAAATACAATTAAAATATATAAATTTAAGCTAAAATCGAAATATAAAAATGATTACAACATATACACCGCAAAATTGATTAAAAAAAAAAAAAAAAAAAAAAAAAANTGAAACAGTGATACCGCGAACGATGTTTTCCCCAATTGTATTTGATTTTGGGGAGCTTTATAGTATCGTTATTGCGCGTATTGTAGGAGTGCATATCACTCTTTCTTACAATGTCCAAAGAATGATTAATTTCGCCATTAATACACTTGTATGCATATATACATCGATGAAATTTCCTACGTTCTTCAAGATTTGGCCATCTCAAGGCTGTTAATGCATCAGTAGATGAGGAGTGAAGCGATCTATCTAATATCAACTTTGCTGCTTTGTTTTCCAGAATTTGCAATTCCGTCATCAGTGTGACATTGTCCTTGTCACCCCAGACTAAATCGGCATAATCAAAAATAGGCAACACTAAGCTATTATAAAAAAGTAACCGAGCATTATAAGGTAAATAATACTTAATCCTACGTAGAAGACCGAGGTTCTTATTAACCTTACATGAAATATACTCAACATGGTCGGACCATGTAAAAGTTGAGGACAACATAACTCCCAAATATTTAAAACTAGTTACAGAATTTATATCAGTGTCAAAAATAGATAATGAGAAAGAGGAAATACCAACGAGTTTCCTATTACTACCTATAATCATGGATTTAGTCTTAGTAAGATTCAAAGTTAGCTTATTTCCATGTAGCCACTGGGCAACTTGCAAGAGATCATGTATCGAGTAGTTTACATTTTTTGAAGGAAGTGTTTACAGATGCCCCAAATTTCAAATTTTAAGGAGGAGCGTTGCGTGACGAGACTAAAAACGGCTGCGAGGGAGACTACAACACCGGGAGCTATGTTCTCACTCTTTGCATTAACTTTTAGGGGTTTCCCCTTCGTCGTTTACGTTTTCTCAGAAGCGCAAAGCCCGGATCAAATTTCTTCGTAAATTATTATGCGGGACAATGCTGTCGGATTGCCATGCAGAGGTGAAAACAAAATTGATTTTATTGTAAGAAGTTATATAACTGAAGGCGACCTTTTTTCTGGTGGAGTTCCCTTAGCTACATCGTAATGGACCTTTATCACGTAGCGCCATCTTGGATTGCGTGAGGCACCAAATCGAGGCTGGACGGGCAAAAAGTTTGTGTTACACTGGTGTTTACAGTAGGAATATATGATAAGTGAGCATGGCCCACGATCATTGCTCTGTTATCTACTGAACAAACGACAAGAGAAATCAGAGTAGCGAGAATTTATCTTTTTTCAACTTGCCTTCAAATTCTTTACTGAGCTCGAAATGGATTGCCGCTATAAAGCGAGATGAAGGGCTAGATTTTGAGACAAGAATGGAGCCGTGACCGGCGAGCTGTCAGACGCACGTGTAACGAGCGACCGACTTTGCTTTCGATTGAAAACACAGCCACGACGTGTTTTGCGAAATACCTACTTTTTTGGTATCCAGAACACTAGTCATTTAAGGAATCTACTAGTCTTTTACTTTATATTTTTCATTTTACATTTGGCTCAAGCTGTCAAACGCACATGGCAATCATGTTTTGTTTGTTTTTATTAACTTGGATTTTGTAGTATGTATTAAATGAGATTCTCCGGCCCTTGTTTATTCGCGTTATAATTGAAAATAAAACTTGAATTACAGCAAACTTGAACTACACGACAGAAAAATACTGCCCGAAGCTAAAACAAAAAAATTTTTACCTTATATTGTTTATTTTTAGTACGCAAAGCGAGGTTTAAATCAGATGGTCAAATAAATATCTGCAAGCCACAGCGGAATATGAAGAGCCGTTACTCAAGGTCTTAAAATAATTGAGAAGAATATGCTACCTTTCTATAACATCAAGAAATGGTTAGATATTCTAGTCTTTGCGGATAGGGACGAGGAGCTAAACGAATTTTTGAGACAGCGGCAGAATAGAGTGGGAATGAGGATTAAACAAAGGGTGCAATCCATAAATGATGCCATGGCTTC